TAAGTGAAAGTAACAGGATATTGGCAATTTGTAACAAACCCACACAATTTATTTTTTTATTTGTTGCTTAACATGGTGGGACTATGATAACTGTCACTCTTCTTACTTCTAACATAAACAAAACCAGTAATATTATAATACAAAAAGAATTAAAACTGGTTTTGTGTGCCAAAGAAGTGACTGCTCATTTTTAACAAGCCATCTGTTTAATTTAGAAATTGGCTGTTTATAAATTTCCTTTAGTCAGCAAAATATTGGCTTCTTCCAGTAATATTGAGAAAACCCCACAGGATCCAACTAATAAACTGTATTCTCTTTTCACTGTGAAAAAAAGAAAGAAACAATTAGATTTTTAAAAGATTTTAAAAGAAGTTAGAGTGTAAGGCACAATATTTGTGTCTGGATAAAGCCATTGGGAATTGCAGGGAGATGGGTAAGGGAAGGGCAGTACCTGTCCAGCCTCATGGCCAAACCTCACCAACACCATGCTGGTAGGAAGCATGGAAAAGGAAAGGAGGATGGAATCTAACCAGTTACAGTGATGGTTTGTATCTCCCAAGATACTTCAAGGGGAGTTCCAGGGCACCAAGAGCTCACAGAATGAGGTTTAGAACAATACAATACCCAGTACTGAAACTGCTATGAAAGTTTCATGTTCTCATCCCACTTTGGAGGGCAGGGGAGACACAGCAGAAGATAATATTTCAGTGGCTAACAGCTGAGTTTCCATGAGAGTTTTACTGGTCAAAGGATACTAATGATGTGTTTGGGAGATTCCTGGTTCATGAAGTTTGCAGCACAAGTAAGAGAGCATATACAAGGGAGGATTATGATATAAAGGGCAGGGCCACAAGGGCTGGGGAACAAAGAAGGGCTGCAAATAAGTTCAGTTCCTATCAAAGTGAAGGTGAGAGATTGCCTTGAAGGAGGGGTGCTTAAGGCATAACAAAGATGCCACATGGCTCTTCACCAAAGCTCTTGCTGAGGATTTTCCAGTCTTGCTGAGAAAGGCATAGCAAGATGGCTGCTAGCATTTTCAGGATTCATAAAATGAATCCTGAAAGAAGATGTGTTTTTTTGCAGGGAGAAAATGAATAATTTATCAAGGAATGTGGTAAATTTGGCATGTCTTGATGTGTTTATGGCAAAAGTAAAGTACGTCTTTTAGGAATATATTTAATCAAGCACTCAAAAGAAGTTATACAACTAGCTTTGCAATGGGTTTTTCTGTATGGTTGTGATTATTTTTCTTTGGTTTTGAAGCCAATGAATATATGAAGTTTCCTATTTATTTTCTTTCACGGAAAGAGAATAAAAGCCCTTGCATTGTCCCAGTATATTCAATGCTACTGCTGTTCTGCATTAAGAAATGCCTATAACAAAATCTCATTATTTAGAGTTTCTGTCAGTTGCCTGCAGTGGTCAGACTTTCTTCACTTTCAGGATGGATTTACCTGAAAATATTTAGTTTGGGACTGGTTGGGGGTGGCAGTCATTTACTCTTGAAAGTTAATGTCAGTCTTTATGGTTGTTCCATGCATGCTTTCCACATGCTCAGGGTCTGCTATTTTTGGGGCAGAGAGGGTGCCCTCATGCCCCAAGTCCTGTGCTGTGCATCTCCTCTTGTGAGAGCCCCTGAATGCACCTGAAGTGATGCCCTGGTGCTCTGCTTCAGCTGTGTTCTCCTCCTGTCTGTAGCACAAAGGGTGCTGGTACCAGCCAGTCCTTGGGCAGCTCTTGCAGGGCCACAGGGGAGCACTGACCTGCAGGACATGGCCACTCAGCCCTGTGCTTACTGAGCTGCTGAGGTTTGTCTGTTCTGGCCACACTGAAGTGACAGGACATTCATAACATTTTAGAAGGTGTTGTGGTCGCATAACAGAAACTGTAATTCCAGTCCTCCTATAAAACTACCCAAGATGCAGCAAAACTTATGGAAAGTGGATTAATCTGTTAATTTTTATAGGTTTTGGAAGTAATTTCAATAAAACCCTCTTGGTTTCTTTTTTATAGTAGAATTTTCCCTAAAGAAATTGGTATTTTATTATGATGTTTGTCTTGGACTTTCAAGAATTACAGTTTTAATGTACCAAATTACTTTTGTTATTAAAAAAGTCAGAAAGCAACCTGATTAAGATGTTAGAAATTTTGACTGTACTATCCAAACAATTCCACTAGGTTAGCAGAAATATTTGGATCCAAATTTTACTGGCAGCCAACAGACTTGTAATTGGGTTAAAAATAAGCAGGGAATTAGTTTGAAAAAAAAAAAAAAAGAGCTAAATCATTTACTCATGGCTCTGTACATTTTGTGCTGTAGCATAGTGTGATTTGAAGGGTTTTTGCCTTTTGTTTTTTTAAGAATTTTTGATAAAACTCATGTGGTAGATGACACCCTTGTTCTGCCATGGGAAAACTGGGAAATCAAGTTCAGAATTCCCTTACTGCAATACTTCTTTGGAAAGTGAGAAGTCAGGCAGTACCAAAAGACGGATTTTGAATTCTACCTTAATTTAGAGGTATGGTCTAATAGATGCATTGATTTAAATACTTTCCACAATGCAGTTGATTTCTTTATTGAATGTGAATCTTAATAAATCATGCCTGCTAACGCAGTCCATTAAATGAGATGCATAATGTGGCCAATTTAATGTTCTCCTAGGAACTGGGTGGAATTTTGGCCCCATGGAAGTCAGTGGGAGTTGTGCCACAGGCTGCAGCAGGTCCAGTCTTTTCAAGCAGTTTTGAATGTGCGTGACTAGTGTGCTTGATTTTCAGCCTTAATGTTTGGTTTTGCACTTACATTGGAAAAGAACATTTTAAATCCTATCAGGAAGGGAGCCAATGCATGTTCTTAAACCTTTGGTATTATTTCCTTTGGAAGAACTAGACAGAGAATAATATGTATTTTTTCTTTATCTGATGGCAATATGCTGTACTGAAATGAAAAGCATTTCAACCTGAATTCAATTTTATGTTTTCATACGTATGTGTTTGTGAGTGCGTGTATCCTACTGACGTTATTTCCTATTGACTTAAGATACAGTTAAATATGGGTGACAGGCACGATAGGACTTTCTTTGTAAACTTTTGCCATTAGTTGAAGGCTGGTAAGAAAATCTCTCCCTTCTTCGGTTACTTTTTGATATCTGGAAATTCACAGCAGATGGCCCCAGTTCTCTCATTTGCACCATTCTGACTTCACGATTTAGGTTGTAGTAAATCCTGATTATCCAGCTATGAAACTGGGATCAGGACCAGCATTTTGGCAACTGGCTCCGACTATAAAAACAAGAACTTAGTACAAAGGAGCAGTATGTGGCTCTAATAAAACTTGTGGGATTTTTGCTGTTTACTTCACTGGAATCTGGATGTCACCAAAATGTGGTATTCTGTAGTGGCCTCTGTTCATATTCTGGTAATGAATGATGGATGAAATAACCTAGGGAAATAAAAAATGAAAAAAGACATCACTTGCCAGTTATAGGACAACAGGATGTAATTAGTGTTTGCAACCTTTGCAAAAGTGGGTTTTGTTTGTGTGATTTTTCACTACTGCAAGGAAGGAACAGTGAAATCTATGCCCAATGTACCATAGGCAAAGACCTGATCTGACAAAATAGAACAGCAGATTTAATTTCCATTTTGTGTGAGAGATATTTATCATCTCTGCTAAGCTGTAATATGGCACTGTACTGAAATCCATAAATGCATAACTTTCCTAAACTGCAAATTTAGTTATACTGAATTTACTAGGTTTCCATAAAATTGCTGTAGAAGCTTTGTGGCAACAGAATTCTACATAAATGCAATTTGCAGGTTTGTCACTTTTTCAGCTATATTTTCCATCCTTCTCATCTTTGTGTTATGTAGAGATACTGACTATGTGGAATCACTGCAGAAAGTTATAAATGATGTATGAAATGAGAAATCCCTGCTCAGTGCACAGAACTTAATCTATGCTATTTGCTGTGAAAGTCAGCTCAGCTGCAAGCAGAAAAGCCCACCAAAGCCAGCAGCTACAAACTAAGAAAACTAAAGTGCACTCTGAGTATTTTTTTTCTTTTTTCTTTTTCTTTTTTTTTTTTTTTTTTTCTTTGTGCCTGGGATAAGCCAGGGCATGGTACTGCAAGCTGCAGAAAGTGATGGGGAGGGCAGGCATTCACAGCTTGGGTGTGCTGAGGTGCCTGTGCACGCTGTGGATTGAGGAGACTGCCTGTAGCTGAGAGAGGAGTTTCTGTGCCTACGCTTAAATGGGAAGAGGGGATAAGGGATAGCTGCAGAAGAGGGAGTGGGCTTAATCCCCCTGACACTGCATGGCCACCAATGAAACAACACTACAAAATGCCCCATTGTTTTTTTAGAATTTTTCAAGTTGAAGTGTCTTTGTGCATGTAGTGGTTACACCACTTGTGTGGGATCACTTGTCAGCATGACACAGTTTATGTCACCTTGTTGGATGGGCAGAATCCACAGCTACTGCTGTCGTCCTGCAGGATCCAGCCCATTGAGAAGTAGGTGCTGCAAGACCAAAAAGTTATCCTGAAAGGATGCAGTGATTTTCCCCTCCTCACCCATAGATTTTTTCAGGCTTCTGCCTAAAATCTACAATTCTGCACTAGAGTAAGGGAGGCTACTGTTAGTGGTTGTGTCTTTATGTAAAGAAGGTATTTTTTGCAGTTGTTTAAATCTCTGTTTTCCATGAAAGTTGCTTCAGCAGAAAGGTACATCAGCCCTGCCTATGAATAGGAACAATCAGCCATTTTGTGGTAGAAGCAGCTTGCAAATAAATTAATAGTTCCTAGGAAACAACTATACCGAACATTTATATTGGAGTGTACAATATACAGGTAACAGGAAGCCTTGGCTTATCACAGTGTTTATTTCTCTTTTTCTCTCTACTTTACTGTGAATTCCTTGTCCATTGTGGATACCTACTGAGAAGGATGCTCAGGGAAACTTCAAATTTTGTAATCCCAGAGTCAAACCTGGGCACCGGGCAGGAGGAGAGAGCAGCAGGTCACAGGCTGAAGTGGCCAGATTCTAACCTTGGCTTTGGTAAGGAACTCCTTTGGGAAGCTGTCTCTGCTGAATACCCCAGTAGCTTATTGCAGGGCTCTCTGTGGCTGCAAACTCCTTCAGTAGCTGCTGTGCATCCCAGAGCAGCCTCGAGTTCTGAAGGATGAAGTGTTTAAATGTGTGCAGAGGGTCAACTTGGAGAGACCAGGATTTATTTACAGGACAGTTGGCCTGCAGTCTAGCACACAGAGCTACTGCTTATATCCTAGGTAAAATAGATGACTTGGCACTTGGCAAGCGCTACAGATATTGCTAAAAAGGTGTTTCTTGGCTCATCCATCTCTTGCAAGGTGCAGAGGAACTGTGGCAGCTATATAAAGAGTTTGGGGAAAAATAGAGACACATGAGTAATGGAGTAGTAAAACTCAGTTCAGCTCTTTGGCACTTGCAAACTCACAGCCAAGCCCTGCAGCCTAAACTTGGGAAAAAAAATTATCTGGAGAAATCAAAGGGAGTTTTAACTTAGAAAGCCACTCTACTGCTTTCTTGTTGTAGGGGTAGGTGTTCAGCAGCAAAGTTCCCTTTCTTTGGCTATACAGGCTGTGACTAGGGACAAGTATCTCCTCTTAGTATTGCAACAGATGTAAAAGTAATCAGAAGCACAATTCTACCAGCTAGAAAAATCTGCTGCATTATTAAGAACAGCTTCTAAAATGCTGAAGAAAACTATAATCAACTGCTAAAGCACGTCTTGGGGAACTAAAAGGGTTTATAAATAATCATTAGAATAAACTGCTCCCTGCCGTGAGGCACATCTCTTATTATGTCTGCTATGTCCCTTTTGGCTTTCTCACTGCATCATCAAGCATGGATTAAGGTCAAATAAATTTAGGATGAGTGAACACAACAGTCTTGACTAAGTTTCTAAAAATGTGAAGGACATGATCTTGTGAGTGAACAAGTGCAGTGTATCCAATTGCACTAAAATACTCAGATTTCAACTGGTTCATTAGACCCTTTCATAAGAAAATAATATTGACTACATCACTATGCCAATAAATTCACATATATTTAGAATAATGCATATAATTGTGCCAATATAATGAGGAAAAATTATGGTGGAAGTGAATATGCCCTCTCCTAGTTTTAAAGTACTTTGCTGCTTATGTATTTTTCATGTTTGAAATGATATCAGTTGTGTCAGGAGATACTCCAGATTTGAGCAAGCAAGCATTATGTTACATAATATTATTCTCATATTTATTGGCATTTCCCTTAAAAGAAATTAGACTCCTAAACCAGCTTTTTATTGTGTGTGTGTTTGTTTCCAGTGTGATGTGGTTTGTGCCTCCCTTACAATCATGGCATTAATGCAAATTCTAACTTTTAGCTTAAATAGATCTTCCTGATGCTTATCCTTAGAAGTGTTTCCAGAAAGCAGCTAGCTCCCAGTCTTGCTAAGACCAGGCTTGTTTACCTCCTGCTCTCAAAGAGACTCTGCTCCCTGGCTGGGATCATGTGGAGCTGCGGAGGATGCCTATGGGAAGTGCCTTCAGCAGCACCAGAGCTGAAGAAGGGAGGGCTATAGGTCCATCTTAGTCTGCACTGAAGGAGGAAAACAAACCTGAAAGCCATGTGGAGAGAATTCTGACCAAACCTGAGAAATTAAACCTGATCAGAAAACATAAAGTAGGTGCAAAGAGAGCTCATGGGAGCTTCTACAAACCTAGGCAGAAAGAAAAAAAGCTTTATAAAGGAAAAAGAATTGAATGCGAGCAGGCCAAGGTGTCTGCTGCAAGCAGAAGAAAGCCTGCAGCATCTGCAGTAAAGAAGAGTGCAGTTTGCCCAAAGAACAAGCCTCCAGACAGCTCCCTGGGCTCCCTTAGCATGGGCAGAGGGACACTTCCCTGTGGCAGCATGGTCTCTGTGCAGAGATGGAATCGCAGGCTCCCCAGTGATTGCTTTCAGCCTGTCTCTATTCTCTGGCACTGTGCTGAATGCAGTCTTCGTTCTGTGCTGCTTTTCAGCCTCTCTTCTGAGCTTTATCTTCCAGGCTTTTGCTGACCTCCTACGTATTTCAAGTTATCCTCTGGTTTTTCAACTGATGTTATTATTGATGTACCAGGGTTTTTTTGAGAATAGAGTCTGTATGTTTTTTATAGCTCTGCACACCAATCTTGCATTTTATAATGGGTACCATAGTGAGCAGTTGTTAACTGTAGATGCTGTTGTATGTTCAGCAAGTTACAAGTTTTTTCTGCGGTTTCTAGTAGCCAGAGTAGTTAAGATGTGTAACTAAAAACTGTCCCAAGCTATAGATAAAGACCAATAATGTTTCCAGTGTTTGTTTGGACTTTTGATTTGTTTTAGATTAGCAAAATCCACTTTATCACTTTGAGGCAGAAAGGGAACTGATTGCAATAAAAGCAGAACAAGATTTGTAGCATGTTCTTATAAATAAAGGAAAGCTGCTCTGCCAAAATTATGTAAGATGTGGCATGTCACATTGTTCTGTTCCTCTCGTGATCTATGGTGCCATATGGACTTAAAAAAATAGGACTATTATATGGATTTCTGCAGCATAATTGGCATTGACACTTGTATTGATTGAATAAATGAAATAACATGCACTGTTCTGACAATCTTTGCAGATTTCTAAGATTACAGCCGTGATGATTCTATGTCAGCAAAAAAGTCTTTAGGAATTTAAAATGAAGCCACAGCCAGTTCATTAATATACATATATTTGAAATTGCAGCCCTAACAATTGAGTTCTCTGCACTGAATGCTATAATATATATTGTCGTGAGCTATATGCCCTCAGATCATTTCTGTGAATTACAAGAAAATTATGGAGTGGAGAACATTTTATTATTGTGCTTTTCATCCAGGGATACAGCTTTTCACTGATGAAAATTGAAAACACTGAAAATTAAAATGTAAATGCATTTATCAAAAGAAGAGGAAAAAATTGAATCCTGAACTTTAACTGCTTTTCCATTTTACTTCTTCAAAAAGCAATTTTGATATTTACATCTCAAAAGCACAAGGAGTCAGGCTCTGTAATATCTATTTGGATTCCTACTAATAAGTGACTGGCTGTTTGTTGCTGGGGGTCTGAAGATTTGTTTTAGTAAAACAGCATGGAAAGCTGTGTGGGTGTTTATTTGTGTATGTGCATATTTTGAGAGACAAACAAAATAATTATTCATTCCTTTAGTGCTTCTCTCCTTTCTGTTAAATACGTTCTTTTTGTGTTTTTTACAGGTCAGTACTACATTGCAAAGCATGTGAGTTACTCATGTCTTTGTACAGAAGAAAGAAAAGAGAGAGCGATGAACACTAGAAGCTATTTACATGAAATTTAGCACTAAATGACAGGAAAAATGCATAATTTAAGATTTATTTAAGCTGGATTTTTTTTTTCCTTTTAATTTCAAAAACTATGTATTGTTGTTTTGGTTGGCATCCTGACTTAACCGTGGATATGTTAGCAGCCCCTAAGAAGCAGCTCATCCATATGCTGAAGAAGACTGTGCGCTCAGTTTCCTGCAGAGTGCTGGATGAAGCATGGAAGCAGGCAGGCTGTGCAGCAAACTGAGACATTCTGTGCCTCTGGTGCTGCTGTGTAATGTAAGAAAATAAGAAGTTCCTTGTATTTGAATGGAGATTGTGCCTGTTTGTGCAGCCCTTATTGTATACACTGTCAGAAGAGTTGACTCCCTATATCTAAAATTCATCCAAATCCTCTACAAGTGACACAGGTAATGAGTGGGTAAATCCTTTGTGTAGCATTTTCACTGCTTTTGTAATTCCCTTCTCTTTCTTTTTCTTAACTTTGGAAGCATTTTTTTTGTGGTGGACATTTTCTGAACTCCTCCATGCTGGGTAACAGTGCTAGATCCCTTAGATTTGTGACAAACCTGACAGACTTAAGGACCTGATGCCAAAACTCTCACCCATGTGTAGATACAGAAGAGGCACCAGAAGACAAAATGAGCCCTGTTCTTCCTTCCCTACCTTACAGCAGATGCTTTTGAATGTTTGATTTGACCATGTCTGTATCTTTTTGTGTTTTCCATTGTATTTGGAAGTCAATTTTTATCTTTCCATAACATTTTAATTAACTTTCAAGTTCTAAGGTGATAAGCATGCATCAGAAACACATACAATATTATACATGGCACAATACCTATCACAGAATCATTGGAACCAAGTAAAAGTTATTGCCTTTTAGGATTTCAGAAACTTAAATGGTTGAGAATTTTCTGAATTCATATTTCAAAGAAAAAAACTTTCCTTGCAAAGAGATTGAAAAATTATATCTATTCATGCTAAATATGTTCATAGCATTTTTTAAAATGAAAGAAAATCTGGTTTCATTATCTTTATTTGAGAAAAATTACTCAAAATTTTCAGTAGAGTTTTTTGCTAGAAAAACTTTATTTCTTGTTCTATTTAGATATCTGATACTTCTTTTTACTTTGAAAGGAAAATTACTTCATTGTTTCAGATGTGTCAGACATTGGAATATCTTGAGCTATCAAAACAGACTACAACAGTCACGATCAGAAACATTTTACTTTAGCATGTAAGCCATTATGTGTATAAAATCATTCATATTCTTTGGATTTAACAGGCATATTTGGTGAATTTATTTACATCTTTCCAATGTTTTATTCATTTCTTGTTTCAGTTTTATCTTTGTTATTTCTGTTCCCCTGTCTTTCTTGAATTCATGATTAATGTTTCTTTAGGCAACAAAACAATACATTCCAGATCAAGAGTTATGCAGAGACATAGTTTTTTTGAGGAATAAAATGATTCAATAAAATATCAGTATTCATAGCAAGTTTTCTTTCCATGCAGGAGATGTTGTAGACAAAAGTTATACTTAGACCAAAATAAAAACTATCCAAAGAGTAAAGAAAAATGGAACACGCAATAGATGTTTGTGGAAAATTCCAGTCACTACCTGGATCTGGATACAATTGGCAAAGAGGACAAAAGAACTAATGGCATGGATTTAATGGATCAAGTTTCTCTTCTGCAGTTCATCTCTTCATTAATGGCCCATGAAAAGTGAAGACCAAGATATTTGGACCAAAGAGCTGCCAGAGACTAAACCAACCATTACCTCTTGAAAGATTGCATCATTGGTGCTTTAAATTAAAGCTTTATTGCCATTGTAAAATGTCTGTGAGTTACCCAGAGAAAATAAAATATATGGTTTTCAGAGAGTGGTCATTATTTTTCAGCTAAATAAGAAATGTCCTTTCCCCTTGGGAGCAGTGTGAAATGGAGCCCTCTGTAGGTCTTCCTCAGCTAGATTCCTGGCCAAAGCCTATTCTGCCTTTTCCATGCACATCTGGTTCTTTGTTCCTTTAGAAAGAGGTGAATCAAGGTTTGGGTCACATCTGCAGGCCCTATTCTAACAGTAAAATAAAAAGAACCGTATTTTTTTTATGGAAGAAAGCAATTTTCCAGCTGATCTAAGAGAAAGATGGGGGTTGTTTAGCCTGGATAAATGGAGACTTGGGAGGGACATTACTGCTCTCCACTCTACCTGAAAGAGTACCTATTATAGATAGGTGGAGGTTGGTCTTTTCTCCCATGTAACAACAATTGGACAGGAGGAAATGGCCTCGAGTTGTGCCAGGTTAGGCTGGATATTAGAATACATTTCTTCACTTAAAGGGTGGCAAAGCACTGAAATGGGCTGCCTGGGGTAGTGATGGAATCACCATCCCCAAAAGTGTTCAAAAAGCGTGTGTATGTGGTGTTTGGGGACGTGGGTAAGTGATGGACTTGGCAGTGGTGGCTTAATGGTTGGGCTTGATGATCTCAGAGGTCTTTTCCAACCTCAGCAATTCTGTGATTCTGTGATACTGTGGTTTAGTGGTGAACATGGCAATAACAGGTTAATGGTTGGACCTGATGATAAAGGCCTTTTCCAACCTAAACAAATCTGTGATTCTCTGGCTCTGTGGTACAACCTTCTCCTGTGTCTAGCATGGAGTGCCATGGGAGAAAACACCACTGCCTCAGGCTGCTCTGTACCTCCCTGTCTTACACCTGAGAGGCAAACACTTAGGGACCAAAATACCAGCATGGCCCACAGGAGTTTGGGTCAACAGTTTTTGGGCTACAATTCCCTGACAGGACTGTTTATGACTCAGTGACCACAGTGGGAGGGAGGGCCCAGCCAAGTGCCTGTGGAGAGTGGCTGTTCAAGAACCAAACATTTTTTGTGTGAAAGAGATGGTAATGTTTTAATGAAGATGCAGAGGTTTGGAGCTCCATACTGTGACTCAGGAGCATTCAGATGTAGCTTCAAAATATCAGTGTGCAAGGGAAATACCTTAATAATTGCTGGATGCAGTGGCACAGTCAGCTCCAAAGAGCTACTTCATGCTGGACAAAATGGCTCTCACAGGCACTCAATCACAAGACTTCCTGTTTCTGAATAACAGAAATATTCTCAGCTGAGAAATTTGGTCACTGATAGTATCCTGGCAGCTTGAGAAACAGCCATTTCTCTGTGAATAGTGGGGAATGCAGCATTTGTAGCTCTTCTGTTCAGGAATGAATGGGACTTTTTTTTCAGTACACAGTGTAAGGATCTCCTGTAAAAAAAAAGATGTAAGTGCCTAAAATCAGCAAAACTAAAGCGTATATACTGGGAACTGTAATTTTGAAATAATTTTCTTGGCTCTCACTGCCTGATTTTAAATGCTTATTTATTTATTTATTTATTTATTTATTTAAAAATTAATTAATTGACTAGTTAACTCACCTTCCTGCCTGGAAAGGTTCAATCCCAAATTTCTCACCTTTTCCCCATAGAAAACGCCCAACAGCTATGATGCTGGTACAGGAGCTGGAGTGGGGTTTGAGGGAGCAGAAAGTATCTGTTGTTTCTCTGACTGAAGCTGTTTCACTGTGCAGATAAACCTTCACAAGTAAAAAGATTAGTCAGGCACTAGGAGAAATATATGGCTGCATTTTCTAGCACTTTGTACAGCCACCTGGCAGAAGGAAATCTACATACCACCCCTCCACCAGGCTCTTTGCATGACTTTATGTGAAAAAAATCACTGGAAAGTATATAAAAAAAATCTGACCCTGTGATCTCTCTTTCCACTTTTTATTTAATTAGATTGTACATAAGCGTTTTGCATAGGAGGAACCCTTGTCAGAAGTGTGAAGCTTTTCCTGCTGAATGGAAAGATGAAAGAAAACATGCTCAGTAAGCTGCTCTATGTGTTTCATAAGCTAAGCTCCAAGATGACCTTTGATCCCACAAAACAAAGAGCTGCTTTTAAAATATGGCTTAATTGCAAAGTATGAAATCAAAACCCATTGTTGGTGGCAATAACTTCTGTGCATCCCTGCTATTACCTGCAGAGAATGAAAATGCAGGCAGCCTGAGAGACTCCCTGGTAGTCTATGCACAGCACAACCTTTTCAGAAAAAACTCAGATAGAAATTAATAATGTTCCTTCCCATCTCTGTCTTATTCCAAAAGAGGCCTGACTGCTTATACAGCTGAGAAATTCAGGTCTCAGTACCTTGCTGATTTTGTGCAAAGGTTTTATTCAAGCTCTGGTTAATTTCCTAGATTTGAGCTTTCTGTGCCTTACTGACGTGCATTTACGGCTGGACAATTCCCAATATCGAGCAGCCGTACACAGAGCTTTTTGTGAGCTTAGGAAATGAACCTGAAACTTAACAAACCATTGTTTATCTCATTATATGCATCTTCAGAGATGCCAGGAGCAACCTACAGAGTGCCTCTGTTGTGTGTTTTGGTTCCCAGCCGATGAGAGCAGGTTGCTGCTGGGAGCAGGAGCCCTGTGGATGGAATGTAGCCGAAGTCTCCGTGCCCTGCACTGCCCAGTGCCCGCAGGAGTCTCGGGATGCACGTGGCTGTGGCAGCATCCTCCACGCCTGGATAACAAATTCACTTAAAGGAGCATTCACTCAGAGGCTGACATTTTCTTTCCCCCCCATTTTGTCAGATGGATGAATGTTATGGCAGCCAAGGACAGATGAAGGTTTGAAATATTACAAGCAGAAGCCTTTCACTAAGATAATATAAAGCCAATTTTTGCAAGTATATCTCTGAGGAGGAAATAGGCCAGAGATTATACTGAGAATCTTTTCTAGCTGTAAAATTTTGTTAAGATGCAAGCAAAAAAGAAAACAAATCATCCACTGGACTATCAAACTTAGCTCAGTGCTGAAACTCCAGTGTTTCTTAAGACAATACTTCTTGAAATTGCCACATCATTCAATTTTAAGTGATTTGCATACCAAATGCAAAAAAAAATGATTAACAGGAAAATTCCCCCTTACATCCCTCTGAGACATATGGTGAGACAGCAACAGAAATGATGGATGTAGTGGGTGATTGCTTGCTGAACCAGTGTGTGAGAAACTATGCTAGGAATAATTCATGTCAAGACATGGTCTTAACTAAAAGACGTATTAAAAACAACATCTTGACAGGTTTAATATCTTACATGATACACATAATCCGTGATTTCTAAGGCATGTGATTATCTCTAAACATGATATTTCGGTAAAACTTCAATTTTATGAAAAGATTTCAAGAAATGCTTGATCTAATGTTAAATCAACCTTTCACAAAATAAAGGAAATGTCAAGTCATTCTGAGGTATGTTATGGTCTCATCTTTATCTAATTCTGTTTCAAATCAGTAGTGATTCCCCAGAGAAAGCAGAGTAACAATGGTATGAAACAGGTGAAAGTGACCCAATAAACAGGATAATGAGGCATTTTGGATGAAAATACATTTTGTATGAAGAAAGGATTTAGTTCTTTGCCATTATAAGAACTGACTGATGCCTTTGCTAATACAGCAGATATATTTCAGATGTATTTCTGTCACCTGTATTTCATTAAAGAGTAAATTTTGCAATACTTGAATACTTGAAGTGACAAAACTTAAGTTGGATGTTTAACAATGATGGAAATTAGATTATGCTAAGAAGTAGGACTGGCATTGCTGGCTGCTGTGATTAATTTGTGGCTGTAGTGACAGTTATAAGATCAGTAACAGTGGCTTCTAGACTGGCCACTTGGCTGTATCCCACCATGAACAGAAATCCTGGGTGAGGGGACAGAGGACTGAGCTGGGACATGTGGACTGCTCCACACCTGGCGTGGGGCTGTGGGCATGCCAGTTTTCCCATGTCACCTCTTGTTTGTCTCACAAGTTGAGAAAGCTGTCCTTGAATACAGGAATTTTAAAGTATTTTGTGTAGTCATTAGCCAATGAAATCAGCTAATAGTAAGTAAAGGCTACAAAATGTCTTCTTTTCCATAGTGGTTTTTATCAAAGGACAGCATCCCCGAGAACTGAAATAGATTGGGATCAGCACACAGAAGGGCCAAGAAATTAATCTGTGTTTCATACAGGAGATGTTCAGGTGTTTCTGAAGTTAGGTGTAAAGAAGATTGTCTCTTTCACTTGCATCTCTCTAATATGTGCATCTGCTTGTTTTTTGAAATTAAACTGGGTCAAACTTAGCAAAAACTAGAGCAAAAATAATCTTATGCACCCTGTAGTGACATGGAGTTTAACAGATGCTGACCAGATGGAAACAGCCATTTTTAAAAAAAATGATCTAGTATTGTCAGTTGAAAAGTATGCAGTTTTGTGGATTTATAGTGTTGTCCTCTGAAAAAACTTGCTAGTTCTAACCAGTGATGTTTTTATCTTTCCATAAATTAGGCAAAGGCTGAGATTTACCTCACAATGAAAGTATAACATACATTCCTAAAAAATAAGAAAGTCATCACATAAGCCCTGCAGTAATATTCAAAATGCCCAGTCCTGTCATATTGCTATTGTTTATCAGTGTACAAGTCTTGAAATAATAAAATCTGGACCATAAAATGGCATATAAAAATTATTTCTTATCTTTAATATGTCTTTCTGTCTGGCAAGTAAAATCCCAGCTCTCTATGTCTTTTATGTGAAAGGATGATTTTTTTCTGCCAATGGCCATCTTGTCAGCAGCTTTTTATTAATTCCTATAATCCTTTTCTTTGGCACCTTCCAACATCTCATCACTTAAGGAGAGTACATTTCTGTGCACAAGCAGTTAGACATAGCAACAGAAGGGAGCACAGTTTTTGTGTCTCTGACAATTTGATGGCAAATAG